TTAATATATAAGATATGCCCCTTTACAATTCCAGAAGTTAAGTATATACAGTGGTGCCTCACAAGACGAATGCCTCGCAAGATGAAAAACCCACAAGACGAATGGTTTTTGCGATCGCTGTGGCGCCTCGCAAGACAGCTTCTTCTATGGCCATGCTTTGCAAGATAATTTTTTTCCCACAAGACCGATACCTCGCAAGACTAAAATAATTCATTCATCTTGCGAGGTTCCCATAGGAATGCATTGCAATGCATTCCTATGGGAAACCACTTTTCGCAAGATGAAAATTCTGCAGGATGGCGCTACTCGCAGAACGAATTACTTTCGTCTTGCGAGGCCCCACTGTACATGCTTTCAACGTTAAGGGCCACCTTAATATTTTTCCCCTTTTCATCTTTCTAAGTAACTCCTCTTATTTGTCTTTTCCCAATTTTTGTTTCTGTCTCCCTAAATAGTCTGCCATCCCTTGTGTCACCTGAAAACATTTTATACACTTGATCTATCTCCAGTAGATCTTCCAGGCTATTTTTAATTAATTCTGCTGATTTCCTCCCCTTATCTTCCCTTGACACAGTTAAGTTTCATTATATGGTCATAGACCCAAAACTTCAAAGATAAAAACATAATATAAGATATACAGAGTAAGTAAGTTGTTAGAATATATCGACGGTATAAAACTTGAGTCAGGTGTTTATCTTAGTATAACATACAAATTCTTAAAACTGAGAATAAAACCTAGCCACTGACTGTGTTATTAATTGGTTCTTTCCCAACAGCAGAAACTTCAGGTAGTCTGTGGAAGATATACTAGTACGTTTACACATTATTGGGTAGACATAACGGATACGTTTGAACCAATATAAGCTACAATTTAGAATGGTGTGTGCAAATTACCTATATCAAATCACAGTACCAAGGTATTGTTTTGTCTTCTCATTTAATTTAAACCAAAGTACATTGGTGAACGCCCTTTATGGATTGCTGATTTGTCGTGGCAAAGGGGCTTGAGTAATTCAGAAGCGATATGGGCTATGCCATGCAGGGACACCCAAGACGGCCAGATCATAGTGGAGAG